GTAATGAGTTAAATATTAGTATTATGTTCAATGTACTATTACAAACATTATATTAAATAATTAGCTACCGATTCAATGGAACCCAAAAAAATGTCTCTAATAACACCGAATATTTCATGATCATTCAACGATCGGTTTAATGACTTATATAAAGCATGTTCTAGATCCCGTGGTGTGTTGACGGTAAGAAGCAATGTTAAAAAGTCGGACGGCAGTAAAGTATCGTCGGATAATAAATCAATTTCCGCACGCCTTTTTTGAATTATTTCAAGTAAAAAGTTTTCCAAGTTTTTTACAATGTTTGCAAACTTGTTATTTAAGTAGTTTATACCAGGAGCACGTCTTATAAAAGGTGGGACGAAAGTGAACCCTTGAGTTAAAAAAAAAAAATCAAATATTAAACATTTTAACTATAATGACTTATTTTGCAATATATAATATATAAAAATTATTACATTGCGAAACTTTAAAAAAGGAATTAATAAGAGAAATTAATTTCGAAGACTGTTCCGATTCTGAAGATGGAGTATAATCGAGATTATGTTTATATCCCAACGAATTAAAATAAGAAAGCATTGTGTAAGCAGATAGTCCAGTTGATGTTGAGATCGATATGTCCCCAGTAAATTTTTCTAGCCATTTAGAAAGATCAACTTCCCTCTTGTCATTAATTAAAATATCCCATAATTTAAACATATCTGTAACCTTTTCAAATGTTTTTTCTGTAATCATTTTTAAAAATCTTTTTGACATTGCTATTCTTATGAAAAACTCGCGATTGATTTTCCATTCATCCAAATTTCTAGTAACAATTATTCCACAATTTTCCATGCCCAGTTCACTTAATCCAGGATTTGGTAAATCACGATATAAGAATTTATAATTATGTGCTACTGAAGAGGTGTGAATTGGATATGCCACAACACTATTTGAAATTATTAGAAATCGTCTAGGACCAATGTGAACTTCACAGAAATCACCATATTCCAATTGAATCGGTAGCTAATTATTTAATATAATGTTTGTAATAGTACATTGAACATAATACTAATATTTAACTCATTAC